CCTGGGAAAGTAGGGCTGCTCCAAAAACCAACAGACTGGTTCCAGCCCCAGCTCAGTCCCTATACGTGTAACTTTGGGAAGTCACTCTGTTTTCTCATCTATAAAATGGGTTTATGCTAAAATTATTTCTAAATTCCCTTAGGTGTTGACATTCGATGTAAGATGGCTTAACTTGAAAGAAGCACCTTTAGGAGAAAAAGGAAATGCTAATTTATACATAATATGTGATTAATTGGGCCATGAAAGTACTTAAAGGATCAATGAAGGTTTAGATAACTTCTGAATAAGTTTCACTATTAAGAAAACCTATGTTTGACCTGGTTCCTAATTCCAAGATGGGGGTCAGAGAGGGCCACCTCAACACCTGAACTAAGGTCAGCCTCCGAACTTCTGGGGTGGAGGAAGTTTCTAGGTGAGAAAGCATCTGTCTAATGGGAGGAGTCTAGTAACCATAATGTTGTTCAAGTAACTGTAAATTAATGATATCAAAATAAAAAAAATAAAAGAAAGCATCTGTCATGTTCTTGGAGCCCTCCTATTACTGACCTCTGGCAAATTCTGGGTGGGAGAGCCCCACTTCTTGCACATGGTGAAAACAGAGCACTCGGCATTCCACCACGATCCCAGACAGGAATCCTGTTCCTATAAAACATTTCCTCAGTTCCCAACCCCTGACTCAAGAGCTGTCTTGGGGGACACCAGCCCCTCATTCTGCCATGCTGAGTGAGGTTGCTGAAACACCTATTATTTTTCACTTCCCTCTCCCTCACCCCCTACTAACTCAGTCTGTCCTCCAGTACTGATCCTATTTCCTTCTTATCTTTAGAGTCCAGCTACTCTGGCCACCCTACCTGCCATGACTCAAGTTGCCTCCATCCTCTCTCTTGGGTCACTACCACAGCCTCCCAGGAAGCTAGCGAGTCCTACCTCCAAGCCTGCCCAGTCGGTTCTCCACACTGGCTGGAGGGAGCTGATGTAAAGCTAATCTTGCAGCCCACCAAGGGCTCACAGGGACTCTCAGGCCAAAAGCCTTGGTGGGACTTCTAAGGCCCTTCATGAGCTGGGGTCCAGCCCTGTCTTCTGCCTTCTTTCTTGACATTCCACAGCTCCTGCCCCATCCATCACCAACCTGACTCATATTCACCCTTGTGCTTTAAACTCCAGCCAGATTTAGCTTCATGCAGTGGTCAAACTAAATTGTCTCTGAGCATTCATACATGCTGTTCTCTCTGGAAAACTGCCCCGATCCTCACTCTCCTTCTAGGGGGCTGTCTGATTCCCTGCATTGAGCTCTATTAGCCATCACTTCCTGGAGGAAGCCTTTCCTGACCTTTCAGGACTACCCCTCAGGCTCCCCTCACCAGACTGAACGCTTTGCACCAGGGACCAAGTCTGCCTCCTTATTTACCATATTCCAGGTACCAGGCACATGCTAGCCAAAAAGAGTGCTCAGTAAATATTTGTTGAATGAATGAATGACCTTGGTCCAGATCTGGTGGCTAGTCAGAACTCTAGAGTGGCCCCAGGCCTGTTGAGCTTTGCACACTCTAAAGGTGTGGACAGTAGTGGCCTTGGTCATGCACACTGCTGCCAAGCGAGCCCCAGCTCAGGGCCTCACGGAGCCTCCCGCACTACAAAGCCAGGTCTCCCAGGCAAACTGAGCCCCTTAAGGGAAGCCCTACCGGTATTCCATACTCCATAATACTCAAGGACAGTTCGCACCCCTGATCCTGCTTTGCTGGGTGACCCTGAGCTGGGTCCTGCAGCTGGTGGAAGACGGTGGGCACCACTATTCCTTAATACCTGGGCTCTAGGAGAACAGACTCCTCGCTGGCACTTCCCTGCCCTCTTCACCTGACAACCCAGGACCCCCACTTCCCGAGTGCAACCACTGGCCCCAAGCGGCCTCCAGCCAGCTCGGCATTCTGGGCTGGAAAGGGGCGTGTCTTTGTGGGGAGAGAGGGGTCCGGGCAGTTCCCGGCACTTTCTCACCCGCTGTTTGGGTTTCTTGGAGATGGGCCCGGGACTGGCCAGACAGAGGCTCCTTCCGCGCTCGGCGGTCCCTGCCTCCCTCCCACGTGGCCTGGCTGAGTCTCTCTGGAAAGCCGCAGCAGCTGGAGAGAAATCCCCCTCCCCACCCCCACCCCCAAGTCCCTCCCCGACTCGCCCCGGACACATCCCCAGCTTTCCCTCCGCAGGGAAGGCAAGAACTAGACGAACAAAGCGGGCAGCCCATCCCCCTCCCGGGCTCTCCCACCTACCTTCCCCAAGCGCCTTCCCCCCAAACGCACACCGGACGGAAGGCGAGGAGGGTGGGGGTGGAAGAAGGAGCCTTAGGCACAGAGACTTGGGACTCCGTTACCTCATCGCCAGCCCTTTCTCCAGCGTGGACAATTCTGACCCTTACCCTCACCCCCAGCCCACACTGGGGTAGAGGCTGGAGGGGGCCTTGCAGACCTCGTCAGCCCTTCCCTGCGCTGCCTGGGGGTGGGGCAGGAGGGACACGCTGACATCCCGAGAGCGAGTGTTTGACGTCCACGAAAGCAACTGGTTCCCTGTCTCTTCCCCCAGCCCACTCCAGTCCACGGGCTGGGCGCGCAACCCTACCCCCACCCCACCCTGCAGCCCCTCCCCAGGGACCACACCCACTGGGCAAAATTGAGTGTTTTATCACCTCTACCCTAGTCAATCCAGCATCTCCGGCCCCGTCCCCCCAACCCCCACAGGCAAGGACACTCCCCAAAAGCCAAAGCCAAATATTAGCTCAGCTCCATAAAACAATTACGCTCTCGACACAAATGGAGGTGCAGACACATACCCCCACACCCCTCCTCTTCCACACACACACTTTTAACCGGAGACACCAGCGGGCAAGGCAGAGCCTGCGCAAGCCACCAACACTGCGGCCACGGCCCCGCGATGCCACGCCGCGACCGTGGCACGCACTGCGGACACGTACGTCCGCAGAAGCCACCCCGCCCCGCGCGCGCACACACACACACACACACACACACACACATACACTCCAGACTCCGCAAACCAAGGACACACACCCCCTGCAGACAGTACGCGCCGCAAACGCCCCCCGGCCGAAGCTCGCAGACCCCCAAGCACTGGCGTCACAGGCACAAGGACGTGCAGCCCGCGCCCCGCAGCCCCGCACTCGCTCGGGATCGGGACCCACGCCAGCCCCACAGCCCAGCGCAGCCCCGGGCGCGGCGCACCCACACACCGCAGCCGCCCGCGCCACCGCCGCGGCGCCCGCTTACCGCGCGCGGCCAGCAGGCAGAAGGTCAGCGCGAGGAGCCCGCCGCCGCGGCCAGCGTCCCCCCGCGCCATGGGGCCGGCCCGGGCCGCCGCCGCCGCCGCCTCCCCACGCCTTGGCCGCCGCCGCCGGGGGAGGGCGCGCCGGGCGTCAGTGGCCCGGGGAGGCGCGGCGCCGCGGGCGGGGGCGCGGCCTCGGGGGCCCGGGCCCGAGCGGGGGCCGGCGCGGGGGCCGGGGCTGCAGCCGCCTCGCCCGCCCCTCCATCGCCATCTTGGGCGAGCAGCCGGGGCGGGGGCGCCCAGCGAGTGCTGCCGCCCGGCCCCACCGGGCCCCCCGGGCCCACGCACCGCGACCCTGCGCCGCGCGGGGCCTCTGCTCTGCCCTCTGGGATCTGCGCCCCAGCGCCTCGTTCTCTCCGGGTCGCCTCAGCCCCTGGTGGGCCACTCGTTTCTGGGTCTCTTAGTCTTCCAGCCTCTGGGGCTCCGGGGCTCTTTCTGCCTCAGTGTCCCCGTCTCTTTTCTCTTTGGCTGCCTCAGGGTCTCCTTCCACCTAGGTTCCAGGCTCAGGGGAAGCAGAGTCAAGGCCGGTGGGCCATCCTGCCACCCAAGCCCAGTCTATTCAAGCCCAGGTCTGCACCTGGATCCTGGTTAGCTTCGCACCAACAGACCCACCCAGTGAGGATGTGACAGTTCCTTCCTCATCCCCGTTGGCATTGCCATTCCAAGCTGGAGGCTCTTTTGGCTCCCTTCTCTTGCTCTTGAAATGACCAGCTCAGGCAGGGCGTTGACTCTACCCCAAGCACTGCCACTTCAGCCCTCTCTATAACCCTGGGATTACAAGGAAGGTTTGATTGCTCTCACTTTTACACAAAGGAAAACAGGCTGGGGGAGGTGAAGTGCCTAAGGAATGAGGCTAGGAAGCAGCAGGTACAGGACAGGAACCCTGCTTTTCGACTCCAGATGGTCATTTCCCATTCATTCTTCAACTGTACTTTCTTTTCCCAGCCAGACTAGTTGTGTTAGTATCCCACAAATATTTCTTGCTGTAAAGCCAGGGATTCAATCCTCAGGCTAGGGTAGGGAGAAAAAGTACAGATGAAATAACCTATGAAGGTATCTTGGTTCTGAGGTGTTTTTACTCTGAGATAGAAAGCACTTCCAAGACTAAGATGCCATGGTTCTTCATTCCCTGTGTCCCCAGTGTTCCCATGACATACAGCCACTTGGTCTCTTTATCTGGTAGGTACCTTACCCCATCTGTAGCTGGTTAACTCCTAATGTGAGCTACACAGATCTAATGGAGTCCGGCGTTTATTCATTCACTGCCTGGCCCATCAGTAGCATTTGACTTAGCTGATCACTCCCACTTCGCCTAGTGATCTCATCTGGTCGTCAAGGCTTAAGATGACATCTTTGTGCTGAAGATGCCCAACTTTATACCTCCAGCCTGCGTCTTCTCTCTTCCTCAGACTTGTGTGTCTACCTCCTGGCTCCACATTTCCATTGGCAAATAGGCAACTCAAATTTAACATGTCCAAAATTGAGCTCTGATCTTCCCTGTCAAACTTCCTCTTCCCACAGTGCCCCCGGCCCCCATCTCAGTTCCTAGCAGCTCCATCCTTCCTTTGCTCTTGCCCAGGTCAGAACATTGGCGTCATCCTCAGCTCTTCACTTTCATGTCCATAAGGCTCCACCTCCCCCACTGCCACTTTGAGCCATGCACCATCACCTCTCACCTGTACTGTTGCCATAGTCCCTGCTCAGGTGTCTGTTTTTGTCCATGTGCCCCTTCAGTCTTTCCTCAGTACAGCATCGAGTGATCCTGTTAAAATGTGAACGAGGTCATGTCACTTCTCTGCTCAAAACCCACCCGTGCCTCCTGTCTCAGAGCAAAACAAAAGTCTTAATGTGATAAGAGGGCCTACCTGACCTGGGAACCTGTTTTACCTCCCTGACCTCACCTCCTACAGCATCCCCTTTGCTCACTGCCTCTCCCACCACTAGCCTCTTTGCTGTAACTTGATTGTAGCCATTTCCCTCCCTCCAGCCTCTAGACCTTTGCCCAGCTAAGTGCAAGACTAGAAATCTGTCTCCCCACACCTCTGTCCTGGCGACTTCCCCAATCTCTCTATTGCCTTTATTTCTAACATGCTCTACATTTTTATTTTATTTATTGTCTGTCCACCCCACCAGAATGTGGGCTTCATGAGGACAGGGATTTTTGTCTGCTAGGTTCACCGCTGAATTCCAAGCAGCTAGACCAGTATTTGACACTGTGTAGGCACCAGGGGTCAGGATATAAGATTCAAGTCACTGCTCACAGGGACAATAGTGTCCTAAGTGGGATGGGGTAGCAGGGAGAATGGGAAAAATAGAAAGAGAGGCTGTGTGATTGACAGGGTTAGGTGTTGCTGAAGAAAAAGGCTTCACAGACCTGTTGATTATTATAGATGTTTGACCGGGGTCTTGACAGTTGATAGAACCGATTGTGGGGGGAAGAACACCCCCTGCAGAAGCCCCGTGGTATAAGAGCACAGGAAATGGAGGATCCATGAATTAACTGCACGGATATGCATGGGCCACCTGTTACGGGTCAGATCCTGCCCTGGGCCCTGGGAGCACAGTGGTGAACAAGACAGTTCTTGTCTACATGGCACTTAGTCTAGGGAGGGAGACAAACAAGGAGGCAACTCTAATGCTGTGTAATAAAGGCTGTGATGGGGTACGGAACAGAGGGACACCCAGGCCAGACCCGGGAGAGGCAGGGAAGACTTCCGAAGGAAACAACTACCTGAACCAGTGTAAGCAGAATGCAGGAGGTGTGAGCTGAGCAGGAAGGCATGGGTGGGAGATGAAGTCAACAGGAGCTAGATGGGGCAGGCTTTGTACATTGCCTAGAAAGCAGATGAAGATTTAACTGTCAATTGAATGAATAAATTAATGAATAAGATGTCACCATTTAAAGAGTGTTGCAAACTCCACAAACCACAGAAAAAAATCCAATTACGTTCTCTGCATTTTTATATCAGCATACAGGCTCTGGGTGGGGAGTGGGTGTGTGATGTGACAGGCTCCAGCCAGCCAAATCCAGTGTAAGGAGTAAGAGCCCTGGTTCTTGTTCTGCCACTGTGACAGTTGCTATGGGAGGTTGGGCAACTTCCTTCCTCTCCTGGGGCCTTAGCTTCATCACCGGGAAAACTAAGAGGGCTGGGGTATGATGTACATTTCTGACCAGGAGTTCCAAAGAGTCAACACCATTAAAAGACACGGCACTTGTCTTAATTTCTTTCCTTTTGCGTCAATCAACAAAATAGTCAATGATTTTTCCCCTTTCAAACAGCAGCACAGAACACCTCTAAGTGCATGTGGGGTGTTCATGGGTGGGTGGCCATGGAGGGCTGATCAGGTGAACAGCATTAACCAGTGTTGCCGTTTTTAACCATTAAACAACTTAAAATGTTTTCGATCTTAGTTACATATTGTTTAACTTATACCCATGTTGGACCATGAGAAATATGTGACAGGAATATGAGGAGCCCTAATGGCTAAATTACAGAAATCTGGTGCTTAGGGGAGACCGGTAATTTTGCAAATTTACCTCCAGTTGATCCTTAGTAGAAAAGAATGTTATGGTCTTCTAATCAAAAGTCAGTTGCCACCCATATGTCAAAAGTGCTTAAAAAATAAAATCTAATGATAATTTGATCGAATTTGGCTTTTGTTTACTGGAAAGGTAGACCTCTACAATATTTTATTTGTGGAGAAATCCTTCCCAATAGATCCTAAAATCTTTTGTTTCATATTTCAGAAATAAAACTGAAAAACATTTTATGTTTTTAAAGATTTTAGCTTATAAAATGCAATCTCATATGAATGCAACTTTTGTCTATTTTTGATCCTATAACATATGGTTAAATTTCAATCTAAATTTGGTCCCCAAATTTGATATATAGTTTGTGGATAAAATGAAGGTTCCTGTGGCCAGGATTCTCACCTGGCTCTGGTCGGCTAGCTCACTACACACGTGTGGGCAATATGTTGTTATTGACTCTATATAAAGTCAATATTGAGTTCAGTGCTCTGAGCAACACGGTGACATGGCTGCAAGGCTGCAGGAGAGCAGAGACTGGAGTGGTGGCAGCGCCGAGGACAGAGGCCCAGAGGATGGCTGCCGGGGCAGAGACCGGCTTGCTGCATGCAGACTCGTTCTGAATGGACGGGATTCTAGTGATTGACCTGCCACCGTGGAAATAAAGTTGGGTATAACCTTTTCACCCCAAGAATGCTCTACTGTCATTTTTTTGGTCACACTGAATCCATAGCGAACTTGCCCAGGGCTGAGACCCATTGGCAGGACAGTCCTGTTAACAAATTATGAGTTTTTCTGTGATTTTAAAATCAGCATGTCACTTCTTAAATGGGAAAGAGGGTTTTTAAAATCACCAATTTAATTAAAATGTTAAAATTGCCTTCAATTAACAATATACTGTTTTAATGTTTTTTCTTTAAATAAGTTGAGACAGTTCTAAGACAGAAGTAACATTTGGAGGACAGGTCAGGGACAGGGTCGAGAGACCAGGAAAAGGCTAGAGGACTACAGCACCTGTTGGTTTGACCAGGTGTATGGGATGCTGTCGAAGAGAACAGAGGAGAGCGAAGATAATTCACTTTTTTGACATGCTGAGTGTGAGGTGCCTGTACGGTATCTCAGTGTGTAGAGATCAGAATGGGAGAAATTATTTGCGAGCTGGCACTTCCCCTATCCGAGCGTCTCACACACTTTATTATAATATTCTTTATTAAATTGTCTGGCTCTACTGCTAGAGAGTAAGCTCTTTGTGGCAGGAACCATGTGTATCTTGCTCACTCATGTTTTCCTGGCATCTAGCACAGCATATAGTAAGATCCCAATGAATGCTTTTTATTTTAAAAGTTATTCCTTTATCATATGCCATGCAAAAAATGATGAAAGTTTTAAATCATTAAGGTAGATATTCTGAAGATAGCATATTACTGTGAAAGGGATTGGAACATCAAAAAATGTTGGGAAGCACTTCATGGAGTAATAGCTAAGGTCTTAGTGGGTGCTACAACTCTAAGTCAAGAATTTATGGACCACTTGCTTTATAGGACCAGCAGCAGCAGGGGGCTGTGGGGCTCAGAGCACTCTACAGTCGATAACAGAATCTACCACTGTAGTGATTTAAAAATATGTGTACAAATTTTTTGACATTCCTCTCTTCAGGAAGTAAATCTACTCCCCCTCCCTTTGAATATGAGAGTGATTCATTTCTAAAGAATAGAATGTGGTGGAGGTGATACTCTATGGCTACTGAGGTTTGTCATAACAGAAGATACATCTCCCACCTGGCTTTCTCCGGGGGACATGACCCTTGGGACCCCTCTGAGCCATCATATAAGAACTCTGGCCATCTTGAAGCCACCAGGCTGGAGAAGCCATGTGGGGAGAATGCAAGGAGATAAGCCCCAGCTGTTCCAGCCTGGGAGCCAAATGTGTAAGTGAGGAAGCCTTGCTGGTGTCCAGCCCCAGCCCCTGTCTGGCTGCAGCCACATAGGAGACCCTGAGACCAGCTAACCCCAGCACTGCGAAAGATAGTAATAATAACGAATGGTTGTAATAATAATGATGCCATAACCACTAAATTTGGGGTGATTTGTTATATACTGGATAACCAGAACAACTGGGGTCTTCACTGGGTTTGATTCACTATTAGAACACTTCACTACCTCTTCCCGTTTAAGGAACATACAGAAGACAGATTTTACAGTATCTTTGCCCTTCATGCTCAAAACTATCTCCCACACTATGCCTCTGTTCAAACCCTCCAAGAGAGGGTGGGGTGGGTCTCCTCTCAACCTGGGATGACTTTCCACCCCTTTCTTAGCATCAGCTCACTAAACAATTTGTGGAATTATGGATATTTTACTTTTCTTCTTCGTGCTTTTCTATGTATTTTTGCAATCAGAAATAGCAAATGCAACTTAAAGGGAAAAAATGTATGGAGATAAATAGTGGAGATGATTGCACAATGTGAATGTTTAATGCCACTGAACTATACACTTAAAAATGTCTGAAATGGTAACGTTTATGTTGTGCATATTTTATCACAATAGAAAAAATTTATACGATGCCTTGAAACTCAATTCCCAGCTCTTTCAAGATGACCATCCAGTCTCCAGCCATCTGTCTGTACCACTCAGTAGGCCCTGGATTACTTCTGCCTTGTACAGTAATTTCTTCATTTCCTCATTTGTCTCAGTCTTAGATCTCAGATGCCACTGGAAGCTTCCTGAGCATAGAGAGTGTCATTATACAGGTGGCAATGTCTATGGTACACTTATAAACCAATTGCCTGGAAGTCAGAATACAGTTCCTTATATAACAACACTACAAATGATGGCCTTGTTCTCAGACTAGCAGATCAAAACCTACTTAACTCATTAAATATCTGAAATGTTATATATTGCAATGAAAATATATTACAGAAAAACAGAAATACTAGCACTTAAAACAAAAACCACTGGAAAGGTTGATGAGTTTGGGATTGAATTAGTAATAAATACATACACTAAAAAAGAGATAATTATTAACTAGGTAAAACAAAGTTCTGCATGAATGAAAATGATTCAAAGTTTATTATATGACTCATCACTGAATACATTTACATAATTACAATGATGTAAGCACTGAACTTGGTCCAAGTAAAGTTACAATAGAACTATGTTTGTATATTGAGAAGATGAGGAGAATGGGAAGGATGTGTTTGCTTAAAATTCAATGGAAAACAGCCAAATTCTAAT